TTTTAATTAAAATGAGGGATGCACTCTAAGAAAAGCACATAAGTTACAAGGAAGATGATCTTAATAAATACAAAATTAAGAGGTATTATAACACACAAAGTATTTAAATTCACAAGAAATCTTGTAGATTTAACATGCACTATTACACTTGTATGTTTTATTGGAGAAAAAAGGCACAGTCTTATAATGACAAAAAAGAGGGAAAAGAAATCAAGGGGGAAAACTAAATTTAATTCTAGAGGGATTTCCTTTGTCTTTAATTTTTTTTCACTTTTCTCCATTCCCTTCTATATATATATATATATATATATATATATATATATATATATATATATATATATATATATATATATGTGTGTGGAGTCTTTATCTCTCTCTATGACATATATTGGATAGGTCAAATAGAGAATATGGTAAATTTAGTAAGAGAGCTCCTCCTCAAAAACCCAATACTCACACAAGTTTGATTTCTGATTGGTAATGGTTCAGAGACATATGCTCAGGGGAACATTAAGAAATGGGTTCCCCGTGGGGCTTGGCCGCGACACGGAGGGAGCTAGACACACGAAGGACTAGCTCCATTGGACCGAGCAACCTACAGCCTGAATCCATAGCATATGACCAAACAAAATATGACTACTACCTCTGACAAGAACCGGAGACACACTATGATGAGCAAACCCTCCAGAAAACAGAGGCAAAAGACCGCAAATCTGCAGATTTTGGCCCTCTCACCGCCGAGCAGGCTGATCCAAGATGGCGCCGAGACGGCGCGCTCCCCAGCATCAGAATCAGAGGTAAGTGATGTTATCTCTGTGTCCCATCTACTGCAAAACCCCCAAGCTGATGGGGACATTAGGCTCCTGATGGTATATCTTAAAAACACCACAAGAGCTGACTTTCAAAAGTTAGCTGCTGACATCAAAAGAGATGTGCAGCCCATTGGAGATCGCACAGCCCACTTAGAGGACAAAATTAAGGAGGTCATCGAGGCACATAACACCCTGGCGGACACCTACACCAAGTTCCAGATTCAAGTACAGCAGCTGGAAACAAAGGTGGTGGACCTCAAAGATAGGGGCCTCAGAAACAGCATCTGCATGGCATCTCTGAAGATGTCAATCAACCTGAACTGAGAGAATATGTCACCCAACTTTTCCACTCCTTACTACCGGATGCATGAGAGCAGGATCTGCAACTGGACAGAATCCACAGCCTGATGAAACCTAGAAAACTACCAGCGGCAGTTCCAAGAGACGCCATTGTAAGGTTACATTTTTACACTGTTGTTAAGCAGATACTTATGATGGCAGCTCGAGACAATCAAGGCCTGGGAGATCGCTTCAAGCTATATACGGATTTTTCACTAGCGACAATGGCTAGAGAAGAGCTTTTGGCCCTATAGAGGCATCTATACCCTACAAGCAGGGCTTTTTAACACGCCTAATAGCACAGAGGAATGGAGTGGAGAAGGTGTTTCTTAGACCAGAGGACGGGAGGAGTGGGCTGGTGCAGTGGAACATCCCCCTGCCACAGACGGATTCATCGATCCGGGCTGCCCCTGCCCAACCATCCTGAGTAGCTGGAGACTGGCACAGAATCAATGCAGCTAAATGAACAACGTATAATAGACACTTAAGTTGATTTCTTTAAAGGGAGGGAATGTGTTTTAGTTTGCAGGTTAGCCTGATTTTAGAGGTTGGGGGAGCTATTACCCCATAAAAATAGTATAGAGGGTTTGCACCGAGGGGATGCCGAGCGGCATTGTCCAGAGCACTCTGCTGCATGAACCACACGCTGCCGGATAACTCATGTCCGGCTATGCAAGCCACATTTAAGTTAGACTATCCTTGGGTTGAAAAAAAAAAGTTCTTATTAACAAAACAGGATGAATTTAACAGGGTAAAAACTAATTGGTTCGTTTGGTATATTTCAATATTTCTGTTGATATTGTTTAAAATTATGCATGATCAAACGGACACAGACACAATTGGCGCAACCTGTATAATCTGCATGACCATGGCGCATAATGTGTGCTCTTTCTCTCTTGACCTAAAAACAAAATCAACTATGTCTAGGTCCAGGATTAAAAAACTGGTAAAGGACAGTCCCCCATGACATGACAAATCCACTAGATGGTACTATCATTCACCCCACTCTCCAGTGGCCCAAGCCAGGCCACAATGACATATGCGGTATACATCGCTCCTGCTATTTGCCTCTAGTGTGCCCCTAACATGATCATTGGGCAATTGTATATAAGTTTCTTTGTTGTTTCACCCCTGAGTTGTTCTATCTAATTTTTTTTCTGTGTCTTCTTCTGAGGGAGTCACACTATTTTCACACTGGATGGCTTATATCCCAGACCCCAATATCCCTGGTTTGGCAACCCTTGGTTGGTAGGGGAGCTGGCGATGCTGGGGTAGGAACTGATGGGGGGCTATGAGGAAGGACGACAGATCGGTACTCAGGTGTACTGGACAGCTAAGTAAGATACATGAACTAAAATGGTGCTGACATTTCTATCATTGAATACTAAAGGGCTCAGCTCACCAAATAAAAGGAGGCTGGCTCTATTGGAAGTGAAAAGGGCAAAAGCCCAATTTGCATTTTATCAGGAAACCCACTTCTAATGGGGTAAGAGGCCCAAATTCAATTCTCCCACATTAGACTTCCACTCTTGCTTCTCTAAGAAGAAAAGGAGGGTATCGATCCTTATCGGTAAAGATGTGGCGTTCAAACTAGTAAAAAAAACATACAGACAAACAGAGAAGATACTTAATTATACAATGCAGCAGGCAGCATTTTTCATAAATATTTTTAATACACTGGACAAATTCAGACTAGGGGAGATCGTGATAGGAGGAGACACAAACTTCATCCTAGCCACCCAACTTGATATTTCCTCACCAGCCACGGTGACAGACTCTACTTAGGCAGTTAGGCGGATAGCTACAGGGCACCTTAATCAAATCCTCCTAGAGCAGAATTTCATAGACACATGAAGAGTCACACAACCTCAAGAAAAAGACTTTACTTTCCACTCCTTGGCACTAGTGATGTCACGAATGGTTCGCCGAACGGTTCGCCGAACGGTTCGCCGAACAGTTCGCCACGGACGGCGAACATATGCGCTGTTCGGTCCGCCCCCTATGTCATCATTGAGTAAACTTTGACCCTGTTCCTCACAGTAAGCAGACACATTCCAGCCAATCAGCAGCAGACTGGGAGGGAGGGAGGAAAACTAATGTACCGATGGTATCTGACACCGGACAGGCTTAATAAAATACACCCAAACACACCTGATCAGTGCTGGAGATGTTGTGCGCAGAGAGGCACAATGCTCCACATATGGTGGGGATGTGACCTTATTTAACCATTGTGGTTGGGGGTTAACAAGCTTCTTAACAACATTGATATCAACTAGAACATTACGATTTTTTTGACCCCGAGCACTGAAATTTCAGTTACAGTTAGGGTTCGAGTTCAGTGTTCGGCAATTTAATGGCGTATTTCAAAAGGCTTTAGGGCAGCCAATCAACAAGCGTTTGACTCGTATGCCCTTAGAAGCCATCACAGCTATGCCTACTAATGGCATGGCTGTGATTGGCCAGTGCAGCATGTGACCCAGCCTCTATATAAGCTAGTAGGGGCTGTGGCTGCTCACTGTTAAAAAAAAAAAAATTAAACCGGGGCCCCCCTCCCGAGCCCCCACTCGTAACGTGCGAGTGAGGGCTTTTAATCTAAAATGGGGAGCTATTGCCCCTCCCAGCCCCCACCCCTGAGCGGCAGATGGGGACCCTAAAGTTAAAAAAAACGGTGGTATATGGTCCCTTGGCGAATAAGAAAATTTAATACACTAAACAAAGGGGGATGTTGGAGATGTTCATATACACAAGGTACATTAATGCATGTATATGGTGGAATTGTGAAAAAAAATCAACAATTAAAATCATGAGAGAAAGCGTATTATGTAAATTATTGAGGGGAAACATTAAGTTGGAACCACAAACATGGCTTTTTCACTTATTTCTCCCCGCTATAAGTAAACTAAATAAATATTTAGTTATAAATATTTTTCTGGCAATCAAAATATGTATGGCAAGAGACTGCCTAAAATCTGCCCCACCTGCATGGATTAAAATTATTAGACAGATCTCCCTTCAAGGTAGAATGGAAAAACAATTTTACAGTTTGAATGGTAAATTATCTCTATATAATGAAATATGGATTCTATGGTGGGAGTATATTGAAGAGATCCCCGATGGGAGAGTGCCTTGAATAAATATAACAAATTTGCTGTAGCTGTCAATTTCTTAGAATTTTATGGAATAAGGAGGAAAGATCAAAATCCTCCATATAAGAAAGTTCCAGACAGATAGATGGTTAAGTAGTAAGGTATGGTAGTGTGGGATATGAATGATGATTGAAAGGGGTCATAACACACTCTCTTAACTTCTGGTTTCCTCTACTGAAGATAATTCCTTTTCATATATATTAAGTTGAATTATAATCAAAGTAAGGGGGTAAGTTAGAAAGGGAATTAAAGAGGGATAGAAAAGAAGTGAAGGAGTATACAAGATAAGTAAACTTAATTCAATCTATTGTGACCCTAATATTTGTTGTATGTACAATATATATATATATATATATATATATATATATATATATATATATATATATATACAAAAAGATACCGGCACTCCAAGGATTTCCAGATAGTATGGAGAATGTGTAAGGAGATTTCTCATGGCTTCTATCACTGTTTCATGCGAGATAATGGTATACAAGCTCCCAACATCCATGGTAATAAGGATGCCATTATCCCGCATGAAACAGGGATAGAAGCCATAAGAAATCTCCTTACACATTCTCCATACTATCAGGGTCCCTTGATTGAATTTGTCTTAGAATTATTAGTTATTGCATTACAGAACAACTATTTTCGGTTTGAAATAAATTGGTACTTACAGTTGGCTGGTACTTCAATGGAGGCGGCCATGGCCCCCATGTATGCAAATGCCTTCATGTATGAGAATGAGACACAACATATCCTTTCATGTTATAATCACCAGATTACCCGTTATTTTAGATTAATTGATGACATCTTAATCCTGTGGAATGGCTCTAAAGAGGAGGCTCTACAATTTGTACATGCTTTGAACAATTTAACTACACAGGTGAAAATGACAGCGACTATCGATGAGCACAGTGTCCAATTTTTGGACTTGGAAATTATGATGGCAAATCAGAAATTAGAGTATAAACGCTTTTCCAAGCCAACGGATCGGAATACAATATTACATTTTCAGAGCTTCCATCCCAAACATCTGAAACAGTCACTACCATACTCTCAATTTTTACGGGTATTTCGTAATAATTCTCTCAGTGAACAACGCGATCAACAACTACTTCTCATGTATGGCAAATTTCAAGCTAGGGGGTACCCTTGGACTGTCTTGGATCAAGCCTTAGCGAAGGCTAAAACAACCTACTCATCTCCCTCCTCCCAACCTCAGAGGACTGTTAATATTAGACCCATCTTCCCGATGCTCTTTAACACCGCCAGCTCAAAATTGACTTCCTCAGTCCGGAATAACTGGAAAACACTGGAACTGGACCTATCCATCCCAGAGATTTTCCAACAAAAGCCCATGTTCAGCTATCGATGCAACAAGAATTTGAAAGACTTACTGGTCAACACTGACCCACACCATTGTTATAGCCCTGTCAAAAAAAATATATACAAATGTCGGATGTGTAAGGTGTTTGGGGTGTGTGACGTGCGGTCACATTATCCCTTCCAAAACCTTTTCCCATCCCTACACAGGCAAGCTATATAAAATCTAGCAGCGTATCCACTGCCGGACTGACTTTATTTACAAATTAACGTGCCCAGGGATAGAAGCCATAAGAAATCTCCTTACACATTCTCCATACTATCAGGGTCCCTTGATTGAATTTGTCTTAGAATTATTAGTTATTGCATTACAGAACAACTATTTTCGGTTTGAAATAAATTGGTACTTACAGTTGGCTGGTACTTCAATGGAGGCGGCCATGGCCCCCATGTATGCAAATGCCTTCATGTATGAGAATGAGACACAACATATCCTTTCATGTTATAATCACCAGATTACCCGTTATTTTAGATTAATTGATGACATCTTAATCCTGTGGAATGGCTCTAAAGAGGAGGCTCTACAATTTGTACATGCTTTGAACAATTTAACTACACAGGTGAAAATGACAGCGACTATCGATGAGCACAGTGTCCAATTTTTGGACTTGGAAATTATGATGGCAAATCAGAAATTAGAGTATAAACGCTTTTCCAAGCCAACGGATCGGAATACAATATTACATTTTCAGAGCTTCCATCCCAAACATCTGAAACAGTCACTACCATACTCTCAATTTTTACGGGTATTTCGTAATAATTCTCTCAGTGAACAACGCGATCAACAACTACTTCTCATGTATGGCAAATTTCAAGCTAGGGGGTACCCTTGGACTGTCTTGGATCAAGCCTTAGCGAAGGCTAAAACAACCTACTCATCTCCCTCCTCCCAACCTCAGAGGACTGTTAATATTAGACCCATCTTCCCGATGCTCTTTAACACCGCCAGCTCAAAATTGACTTCCTCAGTCCGGAATAACTGGAAAACACTGGAACTGGACCTATCCATCCCAGAGATTTTCCAACAAAAGCCCATGTTCAGCTATCGATGCAACAAGAATTTGAAAGACTTACTGGTCAACACTGACCCACACCATTGTTATAGCCCTGTCAAAAAAAATATATACAAATGTCGGATGTGTAAGGTGTTTGGGGTGTGTGACGTGCGGTCACATTATCCCTTCCAAAACCTTTTCCCATCCCTACACAGGCAAGCTATATAAAATCTAGCAGCGTATCCACTGCCGGACTGACTTTATTTACAAATTAACGTGCCCATGTGTCCTTAATTATATTGGCAAAACAGAGACGGCACTCTGTGAGAGAATTAGAGGCCATAGGTCCAGTATCCGGCTTGCCTATCATGATGGCAAGTCAGATAAACCAGTGGCCAGACATTTCCTGGAATTCCGACATCAATTGTCAGCCCTCAGATGTGTTGCAATTGAGCACATTCCCATTCCAGCCCATGTGGGGGACAGAGACAAACTTCTACTACAAAGAGAGGCCTATTGGATTTTCCAATTAGAAACCTTGTCACCTAGGGGCCTAAATGAGAAGTGCTCTTATTCCATGTTTTTGTAAACAGTTGCTATCTGTAGGGCCATTTTTGGGAGTCTTCAACTATATATTTTTCTAATATTACTGCTGGGGTAATCGTGATAATCATCAGCCCTAACACCCCACTAGGGGGAATTATGTCAGGACATGTCCCACTTATGGTCCATGGTTTAGTTCAGAAAAAATCTTTTTTGCTAACTGCTGAATTTTAAAACCCTGAAATAATCTATAATATACATGTGGGTACTAACCATTAGGTGTGTATACAGGATAGATTCTAGCCTGAGGGATTTCATACAATCACTTTCTCTCACTCTGACACAGATTTTATCAGATCCCCTTTTAATTTTAAGGGGAGACACTTTGGGCACAAACACTCACTGTCTCACCTTTATATACATTGGTACACTACACTTATACATATTTGAACAATGTTTACCCTTTGAGCAAGAGGATTAATTGTCCTCCTTCCTCGTATTTAAGTCCGAGGTCTAATTTGATTGTTGAGAGTAGATATATAAAAGGAAACTTTTTTACAAAAAAATTGCACTTTTTATTATCACTGATGTAAACAGTTTTATGATTATTAAGTTTATTCATTTGGGTTTCTTTATCTAGACATTTTTCTACCAGTGGCTGTAGATCTCCTGTTGAATACATGCTATAGTATCCTGTCATCTCCTTTTTGACCGTGGGGTTGCGCCTTGATCGTCATGGTAACATCAAGCTCAAACCGAAAGCTCTGTAAGGGAGGTGATGTCATTTAGAATAAAGAAGGCAATATTCTGGAAATCCTTGGAGTGACGGTATTTTTTTGTATATAGTGCTTAGCTACCAGAGCACCAGGTATTACTGTTTTTTTGAGTTAGAGTGCAAGGGCCAATTACATATATATTTATATATATATATATATATATATATATATGTGTGTGTGTGTTTGTGGTTTGTAATCATGAAAATGAAATAAAAATTAACTTACAAAAAATTTGTTACTGCGGCACTGGTGCGCGGTAAGGAAATGTTACCATCAACAAAGATACAAAAGTGGGTGGTGGGTATTAAAAGATTGACTACCCCTGGTCTAAACTAATACAATTTTGTTCAGCAAAATAGATGTTTGTGTGGAAAAATTGTGTTGGCGCTTTGTAGATTTACGACTGTATAGTTATTGTGTTTGACTTAAAGAAACACTATGGAACTGCACATTGCTCTCACACTTGCATAGCACAGTGGACTGAACACATTCACACACACACAACATTTCTTTTCCAAACTAACTAACTAGCTAACTGTTTAAAAAAACAAACAAACTCTAAGTCAGTGAATTAAAGCTAGTGTAAGTGTCAGTGGCTAGGCAGGCACAGCAGTAACCTAACCACCAGGTTGACACTAGGATTTAAATATTATTAAAAAGAATATATCTATCTCCAAATCCAAGTTTGTGTCAGTGGAGGGTCTACGCACAACAGTAATCTTACCAGTCTAAGTGGGATCAATGACCCAGGCTATATCCCACTAAAATGTGGTGTATTTAGGTAAAAGGTACTTTCATTATATTATTATTTCACTGTACAACACACCACAAAAACATATATTTTATTTGACCAAAAAGACCTGTCAATCTTTAAATCACTTAGTGAATCGAACTTGGTTTAAGTGGCAATGGCTAGGCACAACAATAATCTAACCAACACTCTTTATATTAGGGTCAATATATATAATATATAAGGACATCAAAAGCAAGAAAATGCGTAATATCTCAGCATGATAATTTCAATGAGTTTGCAAAAGCAGTTACGACAAAAGTAAGAATATGCACAGTATAACAATATGGTAATTATGGTGAGGTTACAGTAGCTATAATGGTAATAACAGTAAATGCACAAATGTGCAGCATAACACACTTAAATAAATTAGATCATGTCATAGTGGCAATCATGTTATAAGCAAGCATACACATTGTATTACAGTATAGTAATTTTTGTCACAGTATAAAGAAACAAGCCTCCTTTTAAAATAAAACAATAACAACTGTAGTTGCAGAACTATAAGTTTAAAATGTTCTATATTGAAAAAGGTTGCTCTTTCATACTTGCAATGCAAGTCAAAATAAATGGTGATGGAAAAAAAAACATCACAACAATGACTCCCATATGGTGGCACATAAAACTAAGAGGGGCAAGATGGTGCCCAGTACCAACAGAGGGGCACCAAGGGAAAACAGAAAGAGTAGGCAGACCAACATGTCTACAGTCAGCCAAATCTTCTTCTAGGTAGAGAAACAGCAGGATCATGGAAGTTGCAGAAGCTAATGGAATGATTAAGGTGGGATGAGGTCCCCCTCCAGCCCCAGGTCTAAAGAAGTGTAACACAGTTTCACTCTGTCTATTTCTTTATTTTTTACTTCTATGCTCACATATTGGGATTGATAAGACTGATATTTATGTACAAGGATTAGAACAAGGAGTACAGCTTCTATAACTTCACATCTTCAGTAAGCACTAGACATGTGCACCAGTGAAATATTCATTTCATATGAATGATTTCGTACTAAATAAAAATTGAATTTATCAATCCCGAATTTCGTCTGCAAACCATTCATTTTCGAACAAAATTCATTAAAAAATAATTTGTTTTCGTCCACTAGGATGAAAACAGCACTGCGCATGCAAAAACAAGGAGCGAGTCGGCAGCACCACCAGCTCCCTCATTGTGAAACCATTCCTACCCTTCCTGCATTAAAACCTATGGGGGTCACTATGACCCCCATATTGATAAAAGGGAGGTTAAATCCTCCCGTATGCCCCCACTCACGGCATGCCGTCTAAACAAATTTAAAACTACTAGTGACTGGGCAACAATTGCTGCCCAGTCACTATGCAATAAGGGGGGACCTGGCACAGGTTAAATCCTCCCGCATGCCCCAACCTGTGCTAGCCCCCCCCCCCTCCCTTGTAGTAGGGGTATGTTGCCTAAAATTGGAGATAAAAATCAGTATCTTATATATAAGTGATAAAGAGCTATGGTAATAGTATATGTAACCAAAAGTTATAGCAAAAACTATAACAATGTTGCAATATTAAAAAGTAGCTATTTAGATTTAAATAGCTACTTTTCACGCATACTCTTACCATACTCTTTACACTTCTATGCAAGATACATTTTTATCCATTTTTAATTGACAGCGAGCTGCCAGTGGCTCATCGGTGGGGACCATGGGGGACATTAGGTGTCCCCCCATTATTTATTTATTTTGGGTCACCACCTGCCGCTCACGGGCTTAGGTCACCCCGTTTATATTAATAGCCCAAACCCACGGGTCACGGGTGAGTGTACATTATGCCCCCCATTTTAGTTATATTCTGTTCCCTACCATCGGGTAACGGGGGACCTGTGCCAGGTGCCCCCTTATTGCACTAGCGACTGCTGCCGAGTAACTAGTATTTTTAAATTTGTTTAGGCGCTCAGTAACTAGTATTTTTATATTTGTTTAGGCAACATGTCCTTACTCACGGCATGCCGCGAGTAGGGGCATGTGGGAGGATTTAGCCTCCCTTTTATCAATATGGGGCTCATAGTGACCCCCACACTTATTTTTATTTA